CAAGTCAAAGATTTTCTATAACGAGCTTTGAACATCAGTCTATCATAACTGAAATAGCAGAACTGCAGGACTTCCTTCCATGGCCACACTCATATAGAACATAAAGCATATGACAGCTCTCCTTCTTGACTTCCTTCAGTTAGTAACACAACTCTCTGAAGGTTTATCCAAAATGCACTTAGAAGGTTTTCTGCACTGAGTTACAAAAAAAGAAAAACATCCAGGGTAGCTTGTTTTTCTCACTCTGCACTGATGCTCAAAATTGCTTATAGAAAAATTGTGCTGTGAGTTTGGCTTTAGATTGTGACACAGACTGATTTGATTTCAATTTCTAACAGAAGGTGTGTTTTTTCAGCCCCTGTGGATATCTGCCATATTTATAGTCTCGAGAGCTCACAAATGCTAGAAAAATAGCGCAAATTTAAGTGGCAAACCTCGATTGAGGATCAGTTTTAAGTACCTTCCATGTGTTCCTCTTGACTAAGCAAGGTGAGAAATGTAACTGGTAGGAATCAACAAAAACCAGCTGGATTTTTTAAATCTTCAAAATGCCCACATATGAACATTTCCAAAATTTGTGTAACCTTTGCCATGTCTTTCTCTTGCAATAATTCTCAAGCATCCTTGAAAGAAACTTACTTCCAGCCGGAAACTTAATTAAAATGCAACACCACCAATCTCTTGTTTGAGATTTGAAATTTAAAGAAATCAAACTCTAATTTCTCTTCTACGCCAGGCCTATCCCATTGTGACCTCAGAGCTGGAGATGATTATCAGGGCTTCCTCTGACTTTCCACTGGCACACAGAGGCGTAATGCACTCTTGTCTTCGGTAGCCCGAGGGTTCTCTGAGGTTTTACAAGTTCCTTCCAGCCCTGCTCACTACCTCTGACTCATACTTTAATACACAGTGATCTTGTTGGGTAGTTCATTATCTTGGCAATTCATCTTAATTAAACAAAATGAAGACTGTTCTATGGATCTAGCTGGAAATTTACACATGTTCAGACTCACTGGAAGATCAGTGCCAACACAGTGTCGCAATGCCTGGTGAGAAAAATGGAAAGTGGAACGACTGTATAGCATGCATCTTTAGTGACTTTAAAGCAACAAGAATTGGTTGCGCAAGTTTGAATTTATTTTGGATTTTCTCTAAGCAACACAGGGTCAAAAGTATACATATCCCCCTACTAATATCTGGTGAAATTTCAAGTTGCACCTTGACCAGATACTTTTGTTCACTATCAACAAGCTTTTGGCATAATTTTGTCGATATTTAATGACTTTTCTTAACACAGTTTATTTAAACTGGTTAGTCTGAACCTGGCTTTTAAGTACAGTCGACAAATTTTCAGTAGGGCTGAGGTCGGGGCTTTTGAAAGGCCATTCCAGAAGCTTAATGTTAGCCTGCTTTGTCTGTTCCCAAACTAGTTTTGATATATATTTGGGGTCATTGTCCTGTTAGGACACCCAGTTTTCAACTATCGAGCAATTTGTGGTTATGTTGAAGAATTTGGAGGTAGTCCTTCTCCTTCATTATTTCATCCACTTTGTGCAATGTAACAGTACCAATGGCATGAGAACAGCCTCAGAGCATGATGCTGCCACCACTGTGCTTGACGGTGCTCTTAGGTTTGAAAGCCTCACATACCTCTTGTCATTGTGGTGAAATAGTCTTTGTCTCAACTGACCATAAAATTTTACTCCAAAACACATTTGTCTTGTCCAATGAAAATTTCAGCTGAGCTTAAAGGTGCTAATTTTGAAAAAGTGGCTTTTTCTTTGTCCATGGTGATGTAAAACTCGCTTCACTGGACAGTGACACTGGTGTTCAGCAGTTTCCAGTTCATGGCAGGCCTGGGTTGATTCCTGGGTTGTTTCTGAACGTTCCAAGTAATTTCCTCTCGTCTCTGAGGGTGATAGTTTGCCAAGGTTAGAAGAATACCTAAAGATCTTCTCCGAGTTCCTTGGTCTTTCCTATTGTTCGGAGTATTGGTCAATCCAATGAGTGCTGTCAGTTTATGCTAGCAAAGAAAAACTACCAGTTGTAGCCAATCATGATCAGTTAAGACAACTTAATGGCCTTGTCAAATTAAAAGACATTGTAATCCCTTCAGCACCACTTTAAACAAAAGATTTCAGTGAGTGTATGTAGGGGTGGGCGATATAAACGATATACGATAGAAACGATATAAATTTTGGCCAACGATAGAGATTTTGACTATATCGCTCTATCGCGATAGCGCAGGTTGATGATGTCATCAAGCTACGCCTGTTTGGGTCGAAAGGATGGCAGTGGCTAAAACCATTATCATCTGCAAACTATGCCGGGCGACAGTCATAGCAAAGAGATGAAGCACTTTTGAAATATGGGGAAAGCCAAAAACTGCGCTTCCTCCACTTCCGTAACATTGACGTTCATCCTCCAGCTTCACTGTGCTAATGTTATGCTAACATAGCTGTGTCGCTAGCAATCACGTAGCACAA